ACCAAAAATCAAAAAAAAAAAAAATCGCTTTAAAATAAAGGCTTTGCTAAAATACAAAGGGCTTTTGCAAAAACGAAAATATTTGGTTAAATAAATAAATTACGACGAATCGGAAAATTTATAAATTTTAAAAAAGGATATTACGAAAAAAATTGTTTAAACGTATAAAGCAAATTTATTGGAAGCGAGCTTATAAAATAAAGAAAATACCGGACCTTAACGGGTAAATACCCGGAAAAAACGGGGGTATTACAAAAAAGGAATAACAAAAGCTAAAAAAATGGCCCAAAAAAATGTTTTAACGTGCCGAACCGGCTAACCACCGGGGAAAAACGTAAAAAAACCCGTAAGCGGTTTGTAATAACCGTAAAATATCGTACTTTATAAACAAAAAATTAAATAAGGACGGTATAATACGGGAAACGCTTTAAATTAATGGTGCAATACATTTAAATTCCAAAGGATATACAAAGTGTAGCACATTTCGAAAAGCCCGTAAAAAGCATGCTTAACGCAATACGCTAAAGCAATTACCGCATTTTAAACGTACGTCGTGGTAAAAAATACCATTGCTTGCTCGGAAAAAAGGTAAAAAAATTTCCGAATAATACGGCGGACGGGCCTAAGCGTTCGGGTAGCGGCAAATGCATATCGGCGGTATTTAAACCCATTAGGGGGCGAAAAAAAAGCATTTTAAAATTATTTATTAAAGTATTAAAACCCAATTAGTAATTAAAAATATTAGAATTTTGCAATATTGCAAAGGCAATATAACGAAAAGAAATTATAATTTTAATTGTAATAAATTAACGAAAAAGATTTAAAATTAATTACTTTTTAAAAAAGGGATATTAATAATTAATTAAAAAAACATGTAAAAAAAATCGATTAAATGCCGTATCCAAAAAAACCAAAATTTCCGGAAACCACGTCCTTTTTGCTAGCGCCATAATCGTTGCCGCCAAAATCGTTAGCGCTAAAGGCGGTACCTCCCGGCGCCAATACGGACGCCGTACCTTTACGGGAAGCCGCGCGGCTGTAAGCTTAGGTATTTAAATGCGCCGCAATCGTAACAAAGCTAACGGCAATGCTACCAAAAAAAATAACCATACTTTTTTCGAAACGTTTAAAAAACGCTTTTACTTTATTAAAAAAGTTACCGATATTAATTAAAGCTTAAGCTTGCCTTTTCGTTTAAACGGCGATAGCGTAAAATTGTTGGAAAATGTTTTAAATAATTTTTAATATTGCAACGCTAGCAATTTTGCGCTGGATGCGCTTTTAAATAACGGTTTAACGTTTATAGCGCGCAAATTGCTTGGCCGATATGGTATAAAAGGATTTAGCTTTTTAAATAACCTTGCGAGCGCGAAATTAAGCTTTGGTAAGCTTTTTAAAAAGCTTCGGTATTGCTTTGGGCAATCGCTTGTAAACGGTATTTAAAATTTTGTAAAGGTTTTGGGCCATTTCCCAAAACCATTCGAAAAGCTTAACGCAAGCTTTATTGCTAACTACGTTTTTGCAATAAATATATTTAAAGGACCCCGTACAATTATCGAAGCATATCGGCATACGGGGGTTAACGGCATAATTTTAATATGCTTAACAACCAAAACAACGGCTATAAAATACCGTACGCTCCGTATAATTGTTTTTAAAAAGGGGCAAATAAATAAAATTCCAATTATCGCTTTATTGGAAATCGATAACTTCCCGCAACAAAAGCGCGTTACGGATATTTATATAAAGCGAAAAAAAGGCAATATCCGTTTTGGGGGCAAATTTATTGGAATTGAAAGCGTTGCGGCGGCGTTCGTTGCGCGCTTTACGCTTTTTTTCGGCGAAAATCTTTTTGCCGCGGCGGTTAAAGCCCGCCGGGGGGTTACCGGCAAAACGTTTGCAAAAATTTTAAAAAGTTACAAGCGCAAAAGGGCCCGATAAACCCGCAATATTTAAAAAGCTTACCGAAAGGTTACCGGTAAAGCGATCGTTAAAAATTTAAAGGATTAAAAGCTTCGGCGAAACCGAATCCAAATTTAACTAAACCACGATAGTTAAAAAAATATTAAAAGGTTGCTAAAAAGGGCTAACGGGCCGGTTAAAACCGAAAAACCCGAAACGGATACCCAAAAAAACACCACTTTCTTTACGTAATTGGGTACGAAAAATAACATTTATAGCTACCGGTTAAATCCAAATATCCAAAAAGAACGGCCAAACACCGATTATTTACGGTTACGATCGTTAAAATTATTGGAATGGTTATTAAATGCACAAAAAGGAAAAAAAAGGGTTCGTAACTTTAAACGGGAAAAAAAGCTTTTTATATACCGGTACGGACCCACTTTTCCAAATGCTACAAAATTTTATAACCGGTTTCCTTAAGCATTGCTGGGCATTGGGGCGGTTTAGCGAAATATTATAAATTACCGGTTACTTACGGGGTTGCACGCGCGGTACAAACGGCTTAGGACAAGCCGTATCGGGAAAGGGCAATATATTAAAAGCGCGGGCAAAACCGCCCGGCAAAAAGCGGAAAGCGTTAAATGCACGGGCAAAACCGCCCGGCAAAAAGGAAAAAAGGGGCGCTAGCAGCTAGCCGGGCACGGACCCCCCGGGAATATGCCGGCAAGCTACCGGTATTGCGGCCAAAGCATAATAGCGAAATTAAAAAATAAAGTAAAGCTTAAATTGTACGAAAGCGCTTGGAACGCGAAGGATTTAAAAGACCGACCCCGGGTGCCCAAAAGGGCACGAAGGAAGGGGAGGTTAGAAAAGGAACAATTTTTGTTGGCG